GTAAAAGTCAAAATTTAAAAGTTTATCGCTGACTTTTGGAAAAAACTTGTTGGTATGTCTCCCGTTTGATGAACGGTCCCACCTTTCTTGCCATAAATCTCTGCTGACCTGCCGTAGTTTATAATTAAGCTGTGGTCTTGTAATAGAGTAGTAAAAATCTACTCCACTGAGCAGAGTGCCCGCTTTTGCTAGAGCATCCGCTTCCTCATTTCCAGCTTCCCCCGAGTGAGCCTTGATCCAGTTGAACCGGTAATTCCTGTGTTGAATAATACTCTTAATGTTTTCGACTATAATGTCCCTTGGTGTGGGATTCTCTAGGGCCTGTAATGAGGATTTGGAGTCCGAAAAAAGTACTAACTCTTGTATATCTGCCTCAATTGCCCAAGAAACAGCCAGGTAGATGGCGGTCAGCTCAGCCGGGTATATACTTGATTCGTCATTTATTCTGACAGACTGTTGGTGTATAGTTTCGCCGTTGAGTTTGACCAAGAAGCCACTACCAACTTTGTATTCATATTCGTTGGTTTCGTTGTTAATTACCTGCCTTCTGCTTCCGTCCGTGTATATTTCGTACCCTGTTCCGCTTGGCCCGCTGTATCCCGTATTAATAATCCTTAATTGAGTTGGGTCGTAAGTACAATTTGGGGGCGGGGAATATTCGTTCAGGTATTTAATCTGGTAATCGTTATCGAAGGTATCCTGATTATTGTTATTCTAAAATTGTTGCTTTATTGCGATGGATTGTCTAATTGTTAGGTCAATTGGTGTAATACCTGCGAGGATCTGCAGTGCCTCCGTACTAGTGGTGGAGTAACATTTAGTGATGTTTAACAGGGGACTTCTTTGGATGGAAATAAGTTTCTGATTAAGCTTAACTTTATTTGCATACCAGACGGAGGCACCGTACATAATCTTTTTCTCGATAGCTTGTTTGTAGATGAGTTTAAGAATTGCTGGGTTAAAGCCCCATGTTGCTCTACTGTATTGCTTGATTTTATCATAAAAGACGACGATCTCATTCTTTAGGTTCTCAAGGTGTGTGATCCAGCTCAGCCGAGGGTCCAGGGTGATCCCGAGGTACTTAAGGGTCTTAACATTTTTAATATATGCGCTGTTCGTGCCCTCCATTTTTATGCACGGGAGTCTACGGACACATTTTGTGCCCTTGGGAAACGTAATTGCAAAGGTTTTTTCTGGTGCGAGTGCTAATTTGTGGCTCTTGGCCACAAATTAGCCCATAATTAACCCATAAGAGAGTTAAGGAGGACTTGTGGATGACCCTCCCATTCTTCCACCAAAGCAATTTCTAACTCCAGAATGGTTCTGGGTGGGAGGTTGGCGCATCGCAATAGCTCTCCCAAGAGCATCCCAAGCATGTTCAATAGAATTCAGGTCAGGGGATTTGGCTGGCCAATCCATTCGTTGAATATCCTCGCTTTCCAGATACTCATCAACCACGAGTGCCCTATGTGGTCGCGCATTGTCGTCCATAAAAATGAACTCAGGGCCAACAGCGCCCCTGAAAAAACGCACATAGGGCTCTAGGACCTCCTGCCTGTACCTCTGGGCATTCACGGAACCATTGTCAAACACATGGAGCGGTGTGCGGGTATCTTACGTGTGCAAAAATGTTTTCCATCTCTTAATTTTGTCCACCAGTGTATATATCTCCGTGCTTTGTTCATATGTAGACTGAATCTATCTCCGCTGAGCCATCGATTTTAATGGAAAAGCTACCATTAGTTTTGTCAAACCTCGCTTATTTCGGATTCAACACTTAATATTTTAAGGGAGCGCTCGCATCTTAAGGATTGTTGATGAGCTCCTTCTTATTTATAATTTAAAAATAGTAATCCTAATTAATAATCCTTAAAATAATTTTTTGGTGAATAGGTGTTACTAATATTAGTTAATAGGTTTAATATGTGTTATAAATATGAAGCGCAATACCTACTATGTGTACTGAGAAAATAGATTTTTTACAGCCTACCGAATGGGATAACAACCGGAGAGTTGATTATGGTAATTTTTGACTATCAGGCTATAGAATTATGTCGAATGCATATCTCCTTTTAATTTTGCGCATGATTTTGCAATGTTTATTATTAACCGAGTTATAGATTATTTAGTTTTGTTTCGAATGGAAAAACGAGTATTCAGCTTAGTAATAATAATAATTAACTGAAAAAAGTTGCCGAAGCAGAAAATAAGTTATTTTCCGACGCGACTTTGTATATATTTATTTATTTCTCCATAACGACTTCCGATTTATCTCTGATTTCCAATTCTTTTCATTAATTGCATGAAAATGAGACTTCACCGAGTCAGCACATAAAAACCGTGGCCTACCCCTCGTTTTTGTTCCAGTGGGTCTAAAAAGCAGTATCTTTTCTATTGTATATACCACATTTTTTACTTTGCTACATGCCGGTAAGTTTGGTTTTTGATTTCTTTCATTTCATATTCTTTTCAACTGAATTTTTATTTTTAGCGATATAGATGCATCATAAAGAATAATTTTGATCTTAGAATAATTATTCTTTATTCAGAAATATGGTACTTATTATTTTTCATGCAAAGCCGTAAAATATTTTTGTTATCTGTGAAAATAGTGAAGGCCGGCTTTAGGTGTTTACAATTCTTATAAAACTCGGCGTTCCTTCTATTTTTAAACCTTCACGTTGTTCAATACCAGTTGATGAAGCTCTGTTCCAGC